CATTAATCCTTTTTGATGGTCATGGCATGAAGCTGACAAGATACTTCTTGTTATGTCTGACATTTCTCTTAGCTGAACCAAATGCAATTTCACTTAAATTTAGGGCTACAAATACAGATATGACCCATGCTAGATTTCAATGTAATGAAAGTGCTCAACCGCTCCATAAATCTGGAGCAAGATTGGAGCCACAATCCCTTGCAATTACAAAATTAGAGTATCAACACCCGAAAGGAAACGTGGGCCGTATGAATCATTCTAGCATTGATATGTTTGTTACTGGAATGCTTCACAGCAGAAATCTTTGGGCTATGTTTATAAATTGCAGTTAAGTAGTTTGGAATGAAATTTTGCACTGGCATAAGTATGCATACAAAATCATTATTATGCCTTGCATTTGCCAAGATTGATATTGAACTTTTTAGGACTATAAACTAGTGTAATAAACATAGCAAGTTTTAAGAACTGACAAATGTAGTTCTCTGAGTTTTTTTTTTTAAGCTGTATATTTGAATATATTACAAGGAAGAGAATCATTTGATCATTTAAAAATTACTTGCATCCTAATGTGTCTTCCATTCATGCAAAATATCCCACTCAGTTCTATGCTATTTCAGAAAGATCTCCAGATTTCCAAAAAAGGAGCTTTTGGAGTGCGGGGGATCATGTTGAAGAAGAAGAATATACTAAATAATCCTGTTTTCCTCATTTGTGTTATGATCCAAGCCACTATCATTCATCCTTTAATCCCCATCCATTTTATTAAAACAATAAAGGAACTAGTAAATATGTATTTTGTTACTATTTAAAAAGACAAACAGTAACACTTAAAATAAAATTTCTGCAAAAATAAACTTCCACAGGAAAATCCTATCTGTGGCAATGGAACCATGAAATGTAGATGCTACCAGAGCCTCAAGCGGTTGTTTAACTGGTGAATCTATATAATGAGTTTCCTGCATTTAATATAGTTAGATAATATAATGCCATATAATCAGTTGTTTCATTTGTTCTTTACAGCACTCTCGAGGGATGGGGACTCAGGTAGCTAGATGTAGCCTTCTTGTAGATGATAGTTTTAGAGTCAGGCTGAAAAATCATCCCAAATGTTTTTTTACTATTCATATTCATATAGCATGATGAAAAATGATTTTTTAAATTGTTTCAAAGGTGGAGTATAGTGTTCTTGCACAGATAAAGTGTAAGACGTGTGTGTGTGAATATCCTGTTCTTCATCATTCACTCATATTTCTAGTAGCCTGCCACTCCCCTGGCATCCCACTCTCCAATTAAACCCCATGGGAAAACTTTACAAGAGGGCTCCTTCCCCTGGACTTCTCAGTAGCTGTGCTACTGTCACTGCTAAAGGGAAGATCTGCTACTGAGAACTTTCTAGAGAATTTATTTTAGATATCAGTCACCCAGTTTCCCTGCTACAAATTTGGTGGAGAATTTTGAGAGAACCTCTGTGCTCACTTCTAGTTAATTCTCACCAAGCAGAATTAGTGGAATTGGAAGAGCAATTAAACATTTGGAAGGGTAATTGATAGGCTGAGAGTAAGAGAGGCCAAGAATGAAATAAGAGAGGCCATGCACAGCTCATGGCATGCATGTACTGAATCTCAGTTGGGAGATGGGGACATGGGACCAGCAGAAGTTTTGGGAGGAATGGTCTTAACATATATTTTGAAGAAGAGGCAATTAAGGAATCTGGGATATGATGGCTTCTAGTGCTCTGGGCTCAATAACTTTTCCAGGTAGCCTAGGAGATATTTGATACTGTTGTTGTACATTTAAAAATGCCAAGAGTTAATTCAAAGGTTTTTTTGCCACAAAGAGCCAAAGCCAATAATGCATGCAGAAGAAAGAGTTCTTGACTCCTATGGAGCTGTTGCCAGAGTAGAAGTGAGTTTTTCTAGCTACTTTTTTGTAAAAATTAGACTTCCCATTGCTGAATAGGTGTCATGTTAGAGCAACATCTGTGGCCAAGGGATTCAACTATAAATCCATAAATGCTTGGTTTAAATCTTGACTTTAGTCTGGATTCATTACGTGGCTTTCTCAGCCTCAGTCTTTCCATGTGTAATCTTGGGTTATAACATTATTCATTTGTATGATTGTGGTTAAGTGCACATCCAAATAATCTGAATGCTTAAGTACACTAGATAAATTGTATTAAGAATTCTTATTTCTTATAGATGTAGCTGAGTAATGAGTTTCCATTTCTGGAGAATCTTTTCTTAGTGAAAGCCTATCAACAAATACTGAACCTTTTCAGATTCTATAGTTCAGTCTTCTCCAATTCAGTGTCTCACAGTTATGAACTATACTCTCCAGCCAGTATCTTCATTTCCCATTCCAGTTGGGGATGATTAGTGTTACAGTCTAACATATTTGAACTGTAACACCAGATTGGGAAGGAATGTTCTACTCTATCCATATGCTTGGAGTGTTTTGATCCATTCTGCCAAATATTCTTCCTTTCAGCCCATTTCTTCAGAGTAGGATAATCAATGGGGAAGTGAAACAAATTGACTCATTTGCTCAAAGTTCAGATAACTCAACACTTCACAACCCAAGAAAACTTGTGAAAATCCTAACAATACAAGTGGCAATTTTGCAGTCATGCAATCCTAAGCATGAAGGTTTTACGTAATGACTAAGTCTCTGAATAATACAATAAATTTACAAGTTTTTAAATATGCCTATTTTGGAAAAGAGGAAATTAGAAGAAAATATAAAAATAATAATTGTGCACATACAATTCCAAATAAAATCATTTAAGTTGATCTGATTTAGCAATCATTTCATTTTTCCTTGAGCAGGCTTGGTTTTCCAAGCATTATGCAGGAAACAGATCATACAAGGAAGACATATTTGGCTTCTTAATTAGACATCGTTAGGATGGCTGAGACTAAAAGCAGAGTTACATATTTATGGAAATTTGAGTTCAGGGAAAACCAGTTTCTAAGAAGAGCATATCATGTTTTGCTCATTCATGTGATTACCTCCTATTTTGCATCTGAATCCACCTTTTTAATAAATTTATATTAAACAAGTCAATTAGTTCCAGCTAAAAATTAACATAAATATGATCTTAGCACATGAAAATATTCATTAGAAAAGAAAAAGGTTGATTTGATCCATTCAGCCTTCTCAGCCTGGAGACAATTTGTTAGGGAGCCAGAAGAACATCAGAATGTAAGAATGTTTTGTTAAGGGGAAGGATCATTACAAGGAAACTTTATGAGAATGTTTTGCTCCAGCAATGTATGGGTAGTAGGATCATGGATACAAAGGCAGTGAACACACAAGTGAGGTAAAGCCTAAAAGGAAGTACTGAACAAATCAAAGCAAAAGAATAACTTTAACTGCAAAATATGATATTGACAGGAAATATCTCCAGGGAAGGCAACCAAACAAGAAATGGTAACATCTGATAGGGAAAGTAAATACAGAATAGAAGATTATGTTCCTTCTGCTGTTGGGAACCCCATTCTTGTCAGAGATAACAAACATTCCCCAGCATGGTCATCTGCGGGCTCCTGCTACTTCCATCAAAATGAAAACTTGTCCTGCAAGTTGTACCCCATCTGGACATGTGTGCAATCTCACCATGCACTGGAAAAGGACAGGGCTCGCATTGTGATGGCATGAGGTTGTAGCTCTCAAGATAGCATGGAATATACATCCCCTCAAAAGTCATCTCAGTGTAACAGCCCTACAATGATTTGCTTCTGATTCTTCTGCCATGGTAGATATTAAATCAAGTCTTGGAAAAAGTTCATCTTTCATATCTCTCTGCTATCATTATTAGAAATAGTATGCTTGTCCACATGTTATAGAGTAGGTATAGCTATCAAGCTGTTTCACTCTGCTGTAACATATTTGTATAAAATAAAATTTTAAAAAATCTTCGAAAAATTTGTTCAATAGAATATTCTTCATTGTACTCTTCTCCCCTAGAGGTGGAGGAAGAGGACATTTTGATTCTGATTTTGGGGACATCATTTCCAGAGGCTTTATATTGTTTCTTGTAAAATGTTCTTCCATTTTTGTCCAGTGTGAGACTTCTTAATACATATAGTCATCTGATTTAGTCAGAGGTTGCTTCAAAGACATTTACCTCCTGGTTTTTCCTGCCATCCATGTTTCAAACTCTCTGATGCAGGAAAAGACTGCAAAACTGACCAATGTATAGAAGAAGCTCACATGGGGCACAAAATATCCAACAGCAGAGAGTGATTTCATTTAGGATATTCCCCTAAATGACAGTCTGGGGCAGATTTGGTAAATGGAATAAGTCCTGCCATTCCTGCCCAGAATAATGGAAAACAAAACTTTTTAGGTGTCCTGCTCTTCTGAAGAAAATATTAGCAAGTGGCCTTTTTTCAACCAGTATTATTAGCAATATTGAAGTTAATTTCATTTGCTTCATGTAGTTCTAGATTTCCAGAAGTACAAGTTGGCTTCTAGCACACTTCTTCAGTGTGGTCCCATTCCAGATATGTGGACTTCTACTCCCAACATTCACAGCAGCCTGACCACTCTGAGAATTTGGGGGGTTAAAGCCACACATCTGAGGAGTCTCCAGATCAGGGTAGGCTGGTGTATAGATTCAACATGTCTCCCACAGTTGCCCACAAGGATAAGAATCCACCAAGAAAGACTGGGAGGTTGAAAAAAACATCCCAGAAGAAGGCAAGAAATCTATGTGAGTTTATCTGTGAAGTGATCAAGAACTGAACTTGATCTGAGGAAAACATTATCTTTTATCTCCAACAAGAACAGTTTCAGGAGATAAAAGTTTCCCTTTTTAAAACCAGATGGTAGGAATTATCTGACTTTTTCAAGAAGAAGGAATCTTCAATTGATGAGTGAGCCCAATCATTATTTTCCAATATTTAGCACATTCCTACTGACATTCTTTTACTTTGAGAAACATTTCTTTCTGAATTGGGAGATACAGCCTTCAATTCACATGGCATTGCACTTTTCAGGTCAGGCCATACTTTTGCAGCCATTGGAGAAATCATCTATATGTTTGGCGGTCGTTCCAATGAAGATGAATACTATACTGATGTGTTTGCACTGGACACAGGTGTCTTTCATTATATACAATCATTTTGTCTGACTTATGAAATGCTATTGTAAATTAGCAAAGTAATGATTCAATGGAGAGATTAAAATAAAAATCCCAGACTATTTATGGATATCTTTCAAGCAGTTTCAGGATCCAAAGAATTCTACTACAAAAGAGTTCAGATGGTTACCTACTGTATTTGACAAAAAGGAAGATGAGAGTTTCCCACTCCAAATAATTACCTGTAATTGGGGGCAGAGCCCTCTTTCATTTGCTAAGAATATGGTAGTATTAAAGGACACATGCATTTCCTTCTAGGAAGAAAGGCCTCTTCCTTGGTTGTAAAAGGAAGAGAAAAACAGTTCAGTGTCCAGTGATCTATTCTCCTGTTTCTACAAAACTCACATGGAATAAATTGAGCTAAATAGATCCATCCCCAGCACAGCATTAGTCTACACATATTAATGTGGGAGAGAAAGGCATTGAAATCGTTGGGATTTACTACAGATAGGATGCCGTTTACGCTAATTTCAATGTGGGATGCCTTATAAATAAATAATTTGGCAACCAGACAATTAATTTAGCTGACAGGGTCCTGATGTCCTAGCAACCAATCTGCCTTAGGGAGTGAGGCTGGGTCATCCCTTTTTTCAGATAAATATGGTACTCATGAAAATACAACATTATTCTGAATTCTCTGTAATCTGGCAAATAAAATACAGTGATATAAAAGGAGGAAATCCAAGATAGTGTAAAAAGTTAATAGTGTAACGTAAGTTCCACCAATTTCAGTGGAATTTAAATTCATCTAACTCTGCAACCATGGCATTGTGCAGAGTAGGTGATTTTGGGTGGCTGGAACATATCTAGAATTTTGAGAACATGTGTTAAGTGCATTTACAAATGACCATCAGGGTAGGCATGGTCAGTCACGAGATAGAAATGATGCTCTCTACAGTTTGATAAGGCCTTTGTGGGATCCAAAGGTATTCCTGCAGTCAGCATAATGCTAGAAGCTGATGATTTCCTTTACAGAATTCCAGCTTCCAATTTAATGTTGTCATTAAAGGAATATTTTCTTAAAGTCACATGGGTTAGGAGTCAGTAGGAAGCTGTCCAAAGTTGGATTGTTCCCTGTTTGTTTTCTACTCCATGTGGATGCTTTTTTAAAAACAAAGGGGGAAAACTCATGTCACACCTGGTTTCTTTGACCCCATTTGAACCACTGTTGTTTTTTTTAGTTTTTGTTTCACAAAATAAGACCCCTGTCTAACACAAAGCTTACTAGCTGCGGCGTCTGCAAGCGTGACAAAAAAGTGAAGATGGCAGACAAAGCCTTGCCCCTTATTATGTCTGTACAACGTTGACACATCAACAAAAAGAATGTAGCTTCAATTGTGCTGACACAACTGCCATCTTGACTGTTTTGTTTTTTTTTACTCACCTCACCACCCTCCACAAATGCCAATGGTTGCTGAGATTCTGACAAAGAGAGGAACTGGCAAACTGAGGCTGACTAGTGTAGCCGTGATGTTTAGGGTATATTCTCTGGTTAAAGGCCTTAATGCTAAAGCCTACTTGCCATACCATGTGAACATAGCTACTGCTTTGCTGGCCATATTCAGGGATTTAGGAACGTGCTTTCATTGAGCTTAACTCTAGGAGGGATATGAAACCTTCACCAGCATATTAAAACTCTGGCTTTGGCGATGCTTCAGTTTTTAAAAATTGCACTGCATGTATGAGAGATATTATGACTCCTGTCTAAATTTGTCTAAATATGGCTATGCAAATGGGCTCCCTTAATAATGTCTGTACTGACGGGGCTGTTGGTTGCTTCTCTTGCAATTTTTCACAAATCCTCACCCATCCTCTAATACTGCCGAGGCTGTAGGTGTGAAGTTAAAGATAGTGCAGCATAAGTACTGTGAGGAAAAACCTGGAATCACATCAAAGAATCCAGTCTTTGGGCAGCCTAGTGAATTAATGTGCTTTTATAAGAAAAAATGGATGTAAATGTCAAAGGCTTGGCATAGTGCTATTTTCAGATACTACAGAACAAAAGCAACAAATGAAAGATGTTTGTGTGTCATTTTCTACCCTCCCATTCCTCTCCCCAAGTATCTTTAATGTGGCAAAAGTGTGAAGTCAAGGGAGAAAAGCCTATTGGAAGATCACATCATACATTTACAGCACACAGTGATAAGGTAAACAACTGAACATTTTGCTCTCCTGTTACAAATTTAGGTGCTTTCAGTTCCATTGTATTTTGAGAATGGAAAATCGTGATTGCAAAGACTTAGGGCAGATCCACACTTTCTGCTTGGCCCATTGCCAGTATAGCCCACTCACCACCTCCTGAGTGCAGGAAAGGATGACCTCCTCCTCCTCTCACTCCCAGTCAGTGCAGATGCACCCCACACCCATGTTTTCCAGCTTTGATTCAGAACTGCTGTTTTCTAACCTGAGCCATCTTAAACACTTCAGAATGGATGGCCTCCAGGGTTTTGTTCCATTCTAATAGTATCCCCAGCTCTG